GACAAAAGGGAACTTGGGGGTCAAAAAATGCAATTTTCTGAAAGCTTTCCATGCAAACTCATGCAAATCAACGTGAAATGGCCTGCAACAAGAAAACATTTCTGCAATCAAGAAGATCAACGTAACTTGCATTTTCACATGCCGATATCAGCTTTAACACCCAAACTTGATCAAAACCGTTCAATCAAAACATCTAGAAACCTTATCTTAGCAACATGCAACACAAATTCAATATCTAACAATGCCAAACATAGAAATAAAATCATTTAAATGCTGGGAAAGAAACTAAACAAAACAGCAAACATTCAGTAACTGGATTGTTCACTTTCCAGCAAATACCCGAATAGGATTCGAATGTTTTAAACTCCCAACATGCAAACTCAAACTTTCATACCCTAACATCCGAACTCTAAACTAAACAAACAAATGTTCAACATTTAAACATGCTACAACTAGCAAGAGATCATGAAAGTGCTGAGAAAATTATTCACCAAGGAGCATGCAAATCTGGAAAAAGCAAGTAAGATCAACGATATTCACTTTTGTTGTTAGCACAGCAATTTATTCACAAAACTCAACCTATTCTAATGAGGCCTTTATGCAAGATGTGAAGAGAGTTTCTGCAACAACAAGCTTCGATAAATCATGAAGACTTTTGGCATCAAAGTCAGCTGCAATTTTCTTTTCCAGCCACAGCTTATCATGCAAACCAGATTTTTGGCCCAAATACAATGCTTTGATTAAACATTCTTCATCTCAACATCACAACCTCAGAACTAAGCAACAAAACTTCATGATAATCACAAACCAAAGACCAAAAATTTGGGAAGATATCATACCAGAAATCTGAACGTAAGTGCAGAAATGGTTTCGGCAGCCTGTTTGTTTGCTTTTCAACAAGGTGTTCGATCATGGTTCTAGTATTTTAGACCCTAAACATGCAAACTCAACACCTAACCTCCTATTTCCATTCCCCCAAAACAGATTAAACATGCAACTTAAGTGGAAAGATTTGATGTGCAGCTATGGAAAAGAAAACGGAACAGGAAATGCAATTCCTTTTGTTCTTTGTTGCGGAAACTTTCTGCAGCTATGGGTTCACGTAAATTAAAGGCAGAAACATTGCGTTGGACTCCCCATTCATCTACCAAACATCAATCTCAGTAGTGAAGAAACAAAAGAAAAAGAGCAAAGAAAGCATCAACGCCCACTACAATTTTGAACCCAGAAAAAATCTGTTTCTACAATTATTTCAGTCCAAACCCAATCTACTCATGCGTAAGAAGAAAAGAGAAAATTCAGACAAGCTTCACAACAGTCCGTTCATAATCACATGACTCTCATAACATTGCCCCAAAGCCAGATAACCTGACCGGGTTGCCAATCACAGAAGTGCAGAAAAAGAAAAACCAAACTCGCAGCAAAACAAAATCTAGCATCGCAGCAAAATTTCAACCTTTCTAGCATGATTTTACAAGCTATGGGCAGAAGACAAATGAAAGGCGTTACCTTTATCCCTTTCCAGAGGAAAGAACAGGATCTGGGCTGATGAACTGGGCGTCCTTGCGCAGCCTAAAAGCTTTATCTTCCTCGGCTGTCAACGTTCTTCTTCAGGTCCGCAGTACTCGTATTGCTTGATGAATCGAAGATGATGATGACGTTGGGGCTCCTCCTCCTTGCTGCGCCACCTCTCTCTAGTTCTCCCTTGGTTCTCCAAATCCTCCTCTCTTGCTCTTTCTCTCCTAGCCACTCTTCTCACAGCCGTTCAACCCCCCAAGAACTCCTGCCGTTGTCTCCCTCTTTTTGCTCCTCTCCTCCGTTGTCCAGAAAAATCCTCTGTTGTGTTTTCCGTCCCCACGAACTCTCCCTCTCACTCCTGGTTTCTAGTTTCTTACCAACCTTAGCCGTTGTTACCTCCTTCTCTCGCCCTTTTCTTTTTCGTTCCCCTTTCTGTTTAGTCGTCACTTTTTCTTCTTTTGCCGTTTCTTTTGCTCTCTTTTTTTTGTTCCGTCAATCTCTTCCTCCCCAAAAACTCTCCCTTTGCGGCTGGCCCTCTCCGTGGCTTTTATAGGTTAGAAAACCTAGAAACCTAGCTACCCTTTTCAACCATTTGCAGCCGAAACCCCTCAGGCCCTTCTGTGCAAGCTGCGCTTGCAGCTTGCCGCGACTGGAAAATGTTTTTTCCTTTTTTTTTTTTTTTTTTTTTTAAAAAACAGAAATTGATAATAATAATAAGAACAAATAACAAAACAATTTAATTAACATTGAATGGAAAATAAATGAACTAAAAACCACAAATTACAACTTCCATTTTTTATCGATTTTCCTTTTCCATTTTCGGCACTTTTCTCTTTTCTTCATTTTTCCAATTTTAACTTTTAAAGAAACCACATCTAAAACGACTAAACACATATATATTTCTTTTTTCCTTTTCTTTTTTTCTCCTTCTTTTTATTTTTCACTTTTCTTTTTCCCTAAAAAACATTGAATTTAAAAGACTAAATCATATATTTTTTTTGAATGCTTTTCTTTTTCTTTTTCCTTTTTCAAGAAATTCCATGATAAAAACTTAAAAATAAAAATAAAACTAGAAACTAAAAACTAAAAAGCGAATAAAACTAACACTATACAAATAAAAAACTAAAAATAGAAACTAAAAATAATAATAAAAAAAACATGAAATTACACCAAAAATTTGGTGTCTACAGTTTGCCCCTCTTTGTCTGAGTTTTTTGAAAAAACTTGAGACAAAGAAGTAGACACCAAATACTTACCTGTCTCTTCTATCTGCTTCTGAAAATAAAACAAACGAGTCAACTTTCGGCTGAAATTATTGGACAAAATGATGCAATAACATTGCAGAAAATATGACCGAATTCATGTAGAGTTGCCTACGTATCCCATAACGGGAATCAGGTCAAACGTAGTTCGGATGCAAGTGCATTGACTATATTTGATCTTTGCAAAGTAGAAGAAGTCAAACTCTCAGAACTTCTAAACATGAAATACAAAATGACTGACAGACTAACTATCAATCCAATGATCAAGCAGATGGTCAAAAGCGGTCAGTGGGATAAAACCCGAGCCTGCCGAGGTCGGAGGGATAAAACCCATGCCCAACGAAAAATAAAAGCGGTCAGTGGGATAAAACCCAAGCCTGCCGAGGTCGGAGGGATAAAACCCATGCCCAACGAAAAATAAAAGCGGTCAGTGGGATAAAACCCAAGCCTGCCGAGGTCGGAGGGATAAAACCCATGCCCAACGAAAATAAAAGCGGTCAGTGGGATAAAACCCAAGCCTGCCGAGGTCGGAGGGATAAAACCCATGCCCAACGAAAAATAAAAGCGGTCAGTGGGATAAAACCCAAGCCTGCCGAGGTCGGAGGGATAAAACCCATGCCCAACGAAAAATAAAAGCGGTCAGTGGGATAAAACCCAAGCCTGCCGAGGTCGGAGGGATAAAACCCATGCCCAACGAAAATAAAAGCGGTCAGTGGGATAAAACCCAAGCCTGCCGAGGTCGGAGGGATAAAACCCATGCCCAACGGAACATAAAAGCGGTCAGTGGGATAAAACCCAAGCCTGCCGAGGTCGGAGGGATAAAACCCATGCCCAACGGAACATAAAAGCGGTCAGTTGATCTATTCATATAAACTCTCGTAGGCTTTTGAGAAAACAAATGGTAAACAACTCCCTCTAAAATTGCCCCAGTGTGATGCTTATCGGATTGTCCGACCTGCAAGAAAAGAAATAATGATAGATAATACCGCCATCATTCGATCAACCTCTCCTTCAAGAAAAGTGTAAACATGAGCATTTGGGCTTCTCGTTCGACGAAGTGAGCACTTCAACCCGGCCCTGCAAACCATGTCAAATTCTCATAATATGCAGACCCACGTATCATCTAGTATCTATTCTCTTCGATAAATCATAGGGATTGCCATTTGATAGAACAAAAGAGACAAATGCGATCATGCAACACATGAAAAACATTCTAGTTGCACATAATGAGGAAATATCTTAACAATATAAACACAATCCTCTACTTTTATTGCGCAAAAAAAAAAAAAAATCATTTCAAATAAGTAAACCTGTATACTCAAATTTCGTGTCTGATAAGTCAAAAACTTTGGCTTTCGAACCAAGTGCTACACTTGACCCTTTGGACATCATCTCTTCGGAGTTCCAATACTTGACAACAGAACCACAATGTGAGGAGAAATTCCAATGAACTAAGTCACCAGCTCTTCAAATCCAAACTTACTTTTCCTTATGAAACCCTACCTCAGCGCCCTTTCGGGTTTTCACTAAGGTTGCCCCCGCCCATTATTTTCTTTTCCTGTGTTTCTTTTTCCTTTTCTTTTTCCTTCTTTTTTTTTTTAGGTGCCCTTGCGGGTTTTCACCTAGCAAACCAATCTTGTCTATCGCCCATATCAATCTGGAGATGTGTTTTAAGAAATAATGGCATCAGTATAACAATTCTTCCCTTGCAAAATAGGCGAAGATGTTTTTGACATCATGTGCCACCTGATTAGAAATTGTCCTAAAAAGGCAGTATAAAGAACAGAAGTCAGGACTTTTAGGTTTCTGTAATGGGGTCTGGTGGGGGTGCTTAGAAAAGATTAAGGCTTGAAAGTGGATTTCAAGTGTGGTTTAAATGATCTGAGATCGCATTTTTCAAATTAACCTTACTAATAATTGCCCCAGTTATTCTCAATCGAGATCTTCTTCTTTTCATTTTTCTTTTCATTTTCCTTTATAGCTTTTCCTTTTGAATCCTCTCTTTTCTTTTCTCTTCTTTTCCTTTCTTTCTCATTCTTAGCTTTTTCGACTCAAACTTGCCCCAGTATGGGGTTTGCGATTCTCAGGGGATGCCAAACGAAATAATTTGCTCTGAAGGCTCAAAAGGGACAACTAGGGGTAGAATATTTGATTGGGAAGGAAGAAGGCCTGACTTTTAATCCGTTCCTTACATTAACCCTAAAAGGAAGATTTCATTTATCATATAAAGAATTTCTTACACATATCTGAATTGATTGGTTGAGGGAACACTTGCCCATCCATTTCTGCAAGAATGAGCGCTCCTCCGGGCAAAACTTTCTGGACAATAAAAGGGCCTTGCCAATTTGGTGCAAATTTCCCCTTAGCTTCCTCTTGTGCTGGCAAAATGTGTTTCAACACTTTATCTCCTTCTGTGAACACCCGTGGTCTGACCCTCTTATTGTAAGCACGGGCTACCCTTTTTTGATAGCATTGACCATGACAAATGGCATTTAACCTTTTCTCATCGATTAAAGACAACTGCTCGTGACGTTGTTGAATCCATTCAGCCTCCTCCAGTTTGGCCTCCATTAAAATACGCAAAGAAGGGATTTCGACTTCGGCTGGTAAAACCGCTTCCATTCCATACATGAGATTGTAGGGAGTCGTCCCAGTAGAAGTCCGAATAACAGTTCTATATGCCATTAACGCATAAGGGAGCTTTTCATGCCAATCACGGTGTCTCTCAATCATCTTACGGATTATTTTCTTCAAGTTCTTATTCGCAGCCTCTACTGCTCCATTCATTTGTGGCCTATAAATAGAGGAGTTTCGATGCTTGATTTTGAACTGTGCGCACAAACCATCCACCATGTCATTGTTGAGATTTTTGGCATTATCAGTGATTAATGTCTCCGGCACTCCGAAACGACAAATGATATTCTTTCTTAGAAAGTCTGTTACCACCTTCTTAGTCACATGTTTATAAGACTCAGCTTCGACCCACTTAGTAAAGTATTCAATTGCCACCAGAATAAACCGATGCCCATTTGAAGCGGGAGGGTCAATGGCTCCGATCACATCCATACCCCACATCGAACATGGCCAAGGAGCAGTTATACTGTGTAATTCTGTAGGGGGAGTGTGCGTAACATCTCCATGCAATTGACACTTGATGCATTTCCTAACAAAAACTATACAATCATGCTCCATAGTAAGCCAAAAATATCCAGTCCTCATGATCTTCTTTGCTAATAAATGGCCATTCATATGTGATCCACACACTCCACTATGTACTTCTTTCATCAGGTATTCCGCTTCATCTTCGTCAACACACCTCAGAAGGCCCAAATCCGACGTTCTTCTGTATACTACTTCTCCATTCAAGAAGAATTTAGATGATAATCTACGCAAGAAACTTTTGGCAGTCATATCAGCCCCAGATGGGTAGGATCCTGTTTTGAGAAATTCCTTGATATCATTGTACCAGGGACGGCCATCGGAAGACTTTTCCACAACTAGGCAGTGAGCAGGTTTCCCTTGTAGATGAATCTGGATGGGTTCAATTATTAACTCATCCGGATGTTGGATCATTGAAGATAAAGTGGCCAATGCATCGGCGAAGACATTTCTGACACGGGGAATATGCCGAAACTCCAAACTCCTAAATTTATTGGCTAACTCCAGTAAGTTGCAATGATAGGGCAAGATCTTTGAATCCCGAGTAATCCACTCCTTAAGAGTCTGATGTACAAGCAAATCTGAATCACTGAATACTAGTAAATCCTTAATCTCCATTTCTAATGCCATTTTTAACCCAAAAATGCAAGCTTCATATTCAGCCATGTTGTTAGTACAGGAAAATCGGAGTTTGGCCGAACCAGGGTAATGTTTTCCTTCAGGCGATACTAGAACAGCTCCAATACCGGCCCCGAAGGAATTTGATGCACCGTCAAAGAACAACCTCCACTCCGGGCATTGATCATTCATATCTTCTGCTATACCCACGAACAAGGCCTCCTCATCCGGAAAATAAGTGTGAAGTGGTTGATAGTCATCTTTCAGCGGATTTTCAGCTAAATGGTCGGCCACAGCCTGGCCTTTGATGGCCTTTTGAGTAGTGAAAATAATGTCAAATTCCGAAAGAATCATCTGCCATTTCGCCATACGTCCCGTCGACATAGGCTTTCCCAACAAATATTTCAAAGGGTCGGAGCGGGAAATAAGGTAAGTAGTATGACTGAGCAAGTAATGTCTCAATTTTTGGACGGCCCAAGCTAGAGCACAGCAACTCCTCTCAAGAAAAGAATAGTTGGCCTCATACGCAGTGAACTTCTTACTAAGGTAATAGATAGCTTGCTCCCTCTTCCCCGATTCGTCATGTTGTCCCAATACACACCCCATAGCTTCGTCCAACACCGACAGATACATGATCAAAGGTCGCCCGGGTTTGGGTGGCACTAAAACCGGGGGGTGCAACAGGTAATCTTTAATTTTATCAAACGCTTGCTGGCATTCCTCATTCCATTGCAAGGACACATTTTTCTTTAATAATTTGAACAAAGGCTCACACGTATGGGTCAATTGGGCAATGAATCTCCCAATAAAATTAATCTTTCCTAAAAAACTCTTCACGTCTTTTTGCGTTCTTGGCACTGGCATCTCACGAATGGCCTTAATCTTTGCCGGATCTATCTCAATACCCTTCTTACTGACAATGAATCCCAATAACTTTCCGGCAGGGGCCCCAAATGCACACTTTGCAGGGTTTAGTTTTAAATCATATTTCCTCAATCTTTCAAATAACCTCCCCAAGTCAATCAAATGATCCTCCGTTCTCTCGGATTTGATAATGATATCGTCCACATAAACCTCCATCTCCTTATGAATCATATCATGAAAAAGGGTGGTCATAGTCCTTTGATAAGTAGCGCCTGCATTTTTTAGTCCAAACGGCATTACTCGGTAACAAAATGTCCCCCATGGCGTGATAAAAGCAGTTTTCTCCCTATCCTCCTCAGCCATTAAGATCTGGTGATATCCAGCAAAACAATCAGCAAATGATTCAATCTCATGCCCTGCAGTATTATCCAAAAGAATATGAATGTTCGGCAATGGAAAATCATCTTTCGGGCTGGCCTTGTTAAGATCCCTGTAATCGACACATACTCGCACTTCTCCACTTTTCTTCGGAACAGGTACAGGGTTTGAAAGCCAAATGGGATAATGAGACACCATAATAATTCTAGCATTGAGCTGTTTCTCGATTTGCTCCTTAATTTTGAGGCTCATGTCCGGCTTAAACTTGCGAGGTTTCTGCTTTACTGGTGGAAAACTTGGATCAGTCGGTAATCGGTGGACCACTATATCTGTTGAAATTCCTGGCATATCATCATAGGACCAGGCAAATACATCTTGAAACATGGTCAAGAACTCAATCATCTCTTTTCTCTGTTTCTTATTCAAATGAATGCTAACTTTTATCTCCTTAACTTCAGTCTCAGTGCCAATATTTACAGCTTCTGTTTCTTCTAAGTTCGGTTTGGATTTCTCCTCATATTGTTCAAAATCCTTTAATAAAGATTCAGATTCTTCCTCGTTATCGCTCTCGTCTTGAATTTCTGATTCCAAAATTTCAAATTCGTGAGAGATATCGAGATTACAATCATCAAATTCCAGAATAGTGATATCCAAAGGGTCAATGTGTCTTATTTCTGGCCATCTGAAAAAAAAATGAAATGAGTACAATAGGAAGTAAGTCAAATCCATTTGGGCCATAAACACTGTGCATTTCATTGAAATTCAAAGTAAAGGATAACATCATGACATGCTACTTAACAAGAAAATTAACGCAGGACTTGCATTGGAAAGCATTTGATTGAAAACTATTTACAAACTTGAAAGGCAAAAGATAAGTAGTATAAACGATTTGTCTCATGTCGACCAAAGGCAATCCCCTAATTTACCGAAATTCCCTGCATGAGGGAAGAGGATCACGGGTCCAGTTCTTCATTGCTTCAATAGGCACCTCTGGAAATCCTGGGTCCTCCAACGGCTCCCTTTCAGAAATAACCCCCACAAATAGCTCAGATAACCCAACCTCCACTTCCTCGATCGGGTCTACTTCAGATTTGATCACCTCTGATGGGTAAGGAAAAGTACAATACAATGGTGGGATATTCATGATAAGCTGCCTTCCTTCCTTCTCCGCCTTTTTACGATTCATCATTTCTTTTTTATCCCTGGCAGTAGGTTGAAACCCTAATCCGAAAGTATCCTTCTTTCCTTGAAGTTCTATTGGCTCCAAAACTCCCTGCAGGTTGCGCCCGAGGCCCTTGCCCATCTCATATCTTCCTCGAATCATCTCTTTAGCCATCATAACACTAGCTTCTGGCAGATTCATTTCCGCCACGGGCTTCTCCTTAGATATCCATCCTACGGAAACAATGTCAGCCACATGATGAGAAGAAAGCAGAGATGTTTTACTATCCTCCTCATTTGGTCCAGAGTTAACAATCATTGTGCAATCATCCTCTGCAAAAACTGTGATCAATTGATCATTCACCACAAACCTTAGCAACTGATGAAGTGAAGAGGGTATAGCGCCCGAGGTGTGAATCCAAGGCCGTCCAAGGAGAATGTTATAAACACTTGAAAAATTCATGACTTGGCACATGACCTGAAACTGGGCAGGTCCGATTTCGATCACTAAATCCACTTCCCCCATTGGTTCACTTTTTGCGCCATCAAATCCTCTCACCACAGTGGTTGACGGCCGCAATTTAGTCTCTTGAAATCCTAACTTAACCAAAGTATCCCAAGGGCAGATATTGAGAGCGGAGCCATTGTCTATCAGAACCTTTGGCAAGAGTTTCCCGTTACAGCGGACTGAGATATACAAAGCTTTGTTGTGTCCAATCCCCTCGGCAGTTAGATCTTCATCAGAAAAAGAAATCCGACTGGAAGCCAAAACATGTTCAACTACATTGGCGAATTTGTCAATTGGAATATTTTTAGGCACTTGAGCCTCAGTTAAGACCTTGACCAGGGCCTCTCGGTGAAGTTCCGAGGTTAAGAGCAGATTTAACATGGAAATTTGAGCGGGCATCTTGTTCAATTGCTCGACTACCTTATACTCACTCTTCTTTAACATCTTAAGGAAATTAAAAGCCTCTTCATCCGTCACTATGGGTTTCGTTGGTGTAGCACCTTCTTTTGCTTTTGAGGACTCATCAACTGTAGGCTCCCCTATGATTCTCCCTGATCTAGTGATGGCATCCACTTCCTTCTTAGGCACCTTCTTCTCTCCAATTAACAGTGTAGGTTCGCTATAATTCCACGGGACCTCTTGTAAATTAAGAACAGGAGTTTGCTCAGGCAATTCAAGTACCACGAGTTCCGAAGGCTCACATTCGAAGGGTATCATTTCCAAAATAAAAGGATCAGTATTCTCTTCAACTTTATAGGCTTCCTCCTCCAATATAAACGGTTCTCCAATGACCCCCATGATCTCGGCCTCGTCTACAATGTACTGTGTAGGGTCCTCAATCCCTTCCTCTATGGTGATAGTCCCCACAGTATCCTTGTGCTGAGGAAAAGGATTGTTGCTAACACTTGGCCCTTGTTCATCTTTCCTTTTCAGAATTATGTCTCCAGCATCAATCATATCTTGAATTTTATGCTTAAGTGCCCAGCAATTGGCCGTCGGATGTCCAGGGGATCCCGAATGATAAGCGCAAAACGATTGAGGATCATAACCAGGGGGAAATCCCCTGGGATAGGTCTTAGGGGGTACCGTACCAATCTTCCCAGCAGCTTTTAATTGCTCATATAACTGGTCAACAGGTCGACCTAGATTGGTAAAGGTTCGGTATGGAGTTGGATTTTGGGTGTCACGAGTTTGTTGGTACTGGTAACTTGGGTTAGGAGATGGAATAGGTCTTGGGTTAAAAGGAGGGCGAGGTCTAATTTGCAAGTTTGGTGGGGAAACATGAAATGGCGTCGATGGTGTGTTTGGATAATTTGGTCGAGGACGGGGGTGGTTGATAGTGGTATTGTAAACAGGGCGTGGGTGTGGTTGATATAAGTAACAAGGTGAGTAGGTGGGATTTTGTTGGTATCTAGGCCGAGAAGAAAAACCCTGGTCCCAGACAAAAGAGGCTTCCTCATCTTTCTTCTTAAATTGAGCCTTTTTACTACTGCCACTCTGACTCTGCATAGCTTCCAACTGTGACTTTAAAGCTGAAACATTAACAATCTTGCCTGCCCTTATAAACTCGTCATACTCTTCCAATTTGTTAACAATTTCAGCAAAAGAACACCCAGTCATAAGGAAAATCTCTTCAAAGTAGGGTGGGTCATGAGCTTTAATAAACGTGCGAACAATCTCATTTTCAGTCATAGGCGGCTCCACTTTGGCGGCCAATTTCCTCCATCTCTTCGCATATGTCTTATGGTCCTCCGATGGCTTCCTCTTGGTCCCCTCCAATGTGGTCCTCGTCGGAGCGAGCTCACAATTATATTCATACTGCCTCACAAAAGCAGTCGATAAATCCATCCAAGATTTCATATCTTCAGGCTTCAAAGTGGAATACCAATCCAACGCGTCGCCTTCTAAACTCTCGGGAAATAAGCGTACTGGCAGATTCTCATCGTCTATTGGTCTTCCCAGCTTGTTTGCAAATATCCGAAGGTGGGTTTTGGGATTCCCCGTTCCGTCGTACTTGGTAAATTTGGGTGCTTTGAAACCCACCGGCAACTGCATATCCGGAAACAGGCACAGCTCGTTGTAGTCCAAACCTCCTTGTTTGCTCACACCTTGGCTTTTCCTTATAAACTCCTCGAACCGATCCAATCTCTTTAGTAAATTCTTGTCCACGGGCACGGACGACCCCCCAACTTCAGTTTTCCCTTGAACGGCGGTATCTAGGGTGAATGGTTCAGCGGTGGCGTAATAATGTGGTCCTTGTGGTTCGAAAGGCATGCTCACAGTAATGGGCGGATAATTCTGGGAAATTTGGACTTGAGGAGGATTAGTTTGGATGTGAGGTGCATATGTAGGTGGTGGGCCATGAGTGGGATAAGTAAAGGTTTCTTCGGGTGGATTCATAGCTTGTGAAGAAACCGAGATTTGAGCATATGGTAAGAGTATTGGTTCAGATTGGCCCGGGGGTAAGGGTGCATGTTGCTGCTCACCGCTAGCGCCACTAGCTACCAATTGATCGATTACATGCCGTTGGGCCATCATTTCAACACTTAGCTCATTAAACCGGTTGAGAACCTCGCTCAGCTGAGCTCCCAGATTTGCCAAATCAGTTGATGATGTTGCGGGCCTTTCAGATGATTCCGGATGGGTACTCATGTTTACACTTTCCCTCGAAGCTCGGCTACGCGATCGGGTGATAATGGGGCTTCTTCGGGTAGCTATATTTAAATATTACCTGGAGACGTAAGAAAACCCTTATTAGATGCCCTTCTTGATTGACTGTTGCCAAAAAAAGAAGAAAAAATAAAAGAAAAAAAAAACAGGAGTTAGTAAAAAATAAAATAATTCGGATGCATGTCCTATTTGGGAGCCCTTTTTGTGCCAAGGGTAGGCCTAGCATGATGCAAGCCTTCGGGGTAAATCCCATTTTTCAAACCTGTAAGTGAATATAAAAACAGGAATTCTCATTAATCATGGATAAGCTTAATCCTTCTTTACAATTTCATTGATGGTTCGACTGACCATTCTTACAAAGTCTTCATGTCTAGCTAGTTTAGTGTGTTGGGACTCCCTAGAACTCCCGATACTAAGTTTCCGAATTTCATCTTGGATTTGGCCAAATGCACTCAATGCCTTTTCCAAGTTCTCGGTCTTTGTGGCCTCTTTCTTCAATTGTGAGCGGGCGTCTTCCAATGCTTGATCGGCTACCATGATCTGCAACTGACGATTCTCCAACTCTTTCCTCAACTTTTCATTCTGCTCCTCAAGACTAAGGGAGACCAACGATGCCCTTTCTCTTCCTTGTTCCATTATTGATTTGATCCATTCGTTGTACTCTAAGACGACCTTAGGCTCTACTTTATTCACTTGGTCCAAATGCAGGTTGTCCAGACTACACAGATTCCCCCAAGCTTCCAGCACCATAGTCTGGCATTCGGTGACTGTATTGAGTTCGATGCACCCCATCCTTTGTATGGTCGGCACTCGCTGCGGATACCCAAACTGTCTCATAACTCGTTGTGGCACATACACAATCAATCCACCGGTGCTTGCTAACGGGATAAAATCAAGTTGTGTTGTCCTGAAAGCTGGATCCCTTACTTTCGTCCAATCAAGAACCCATTGTATCTTATCCGAAGTCAAAGCATTGAATTCCTGAATAAACAAACTCGGAGACTCTATTCGATAGTATTTTCTAACCCTCTCTCGGTGCGACTCAATCCAATTTGCTGTTGGAAGGCATGATCCCAACGAATTCAGTGTTCTTTTTGACAGATGCTCCATCGCCCATATTTGAAGTACCAGGTTGGATGAATAGAAAAACCCTCTCTTCTTTCGGCACTCAGTAACAGCGGCGAAAATGTCAGCAATAATAACAGGTACTAAGGTAGGAGTTTTTCCTCTAATTCCCAAAAACACACTCTGAACCATGTTGACCGTTGAAAACGTAACTTTCCCATGCTTTTTCGGAAACAGGAGTAGATTGATCAGAGTTATCCCAAAAGCTAGTACTCGTTTCTCTTCCCACTGTTCTCTACTAACGAAAAAGTCCTCGTGGTGATGATCATAGGATTCCTTTTCCCCGAATCGCTTGTATAAGAACTCCAGCGGGCATGATCTTACGTCCGGGTGTTGACTCATGCTAAACTGTTTTAACCCTAAGAACTTACAAAATTGTTCTCTGGTGCCATTCATTGGGTATACCATAGGGTGACCTTTCCCAGGCACTTGTAACAATCCTTCTATCTCCTCCAGGGTTAGTGTTAATTCGCACTCTCCAAATCGGAAAACAGAGCTGTCTGGATCCCAGAACTCGAGCAAAGCTTGGACAATGGCTACATTCGGAGTTATATTCAAGAGACTAGGTAAATGTCCTATATACGGGAAAAGTCTGTTCACTTCATGTGCCATATTGTTCTTCCAATCTACTAGCTCACGAGGTATCTGATTGAGCATTCTACACGGAGCCATCTGGGGAAGAAATTCACTTTAGTACCTTACCTCGGGATTTTACCCTTTAGGTAATGCAGAAATAGTAAACGTGTAAGTCCCATTGGATTAAATATCCGAGACATGTGGCGGCTTATTCCTAAACACGGGATTCCCTACGTGGCATTCCCTTTCTATGGTTTATGCGTGATGCCAGTTATTTAAAGCAGTAAAATATGCAACAAATATGGCCTAAAGGGCATAAATAATGCATCGGGGGGAAAGAGGTCTAAAAATGAAATGTAGTTATTGAAAATTAAGTGTAATGACTGAAATTAAACATGTGAGCTATCTAGCGGGTAAGTCACAAAAAGAGTGCCAAAGAGGCCTTTTATTGCTATGGCACATGAATGCAAGCCAAGAAAACGCAAGAATAGTTAGTACAATTGATAGTACACGTAACATATTGGGAGCAATTAAGAAAAAAAAAGAAGTACAATAAAGCAAGTAAAAGGGGTGGAACCCCTTCCCTCGTGCCTAATGTGCTTAAAAAAAGGTGAGGCCGACTCTACCCTAGGCGAGTCTAATATGGATGCATGAGGCTGGGGCTCACTAATGCAACTAGACTCGATAAGTCTCGGCTCCCAAGCCTTCAGACCTAAAGGCGAAGGGTCATCACTCCCAGGGCCTTTGATCGGTGGCTCGAGTGATCCCTTAGGTAGCGCTATGGGCGCAGAGCACACCAGCCGCCTACCCAAGGCGATCGATCCTAATCCTACAAGGCGGTGTGGGAAACGCCCACGAAAATAAAATAAAATGGGGATAACAATAAATAAACGTGCACGTATGAAGTGCTCCCTATTTTGAGGGAAGGGGTTGAGAACCACACAAGGCTCTAAAGGTGACACCCCCCCAAATGCAATGCAAAGCGCGAAATCATACAAAAATAAATCATCCATCCATCCAAACAATCGTAATCGAATGTGTGAGGAAGTGAGTTAATACGCGAAATGCAAAAATCCTAAAAAATAAGGAAAAAATGCAATCCTAAACATCCAATGTGATAAATGAAAAGGTTAAAAGAAGAAAAAGGTTGATTAAATCATATTTGCTCGGACTCTCGAAAGTTCCCCAGTGGAGTCGCCAACTGTCGCGCCCCATTTTTTGATGAAATAAATAAAATAAAATGGTTTAAAAATGTATTTTGTGATTTGGAAAATGAATCGTGATTTAAAAGAAAAATGGTAAATGGGGGTTTGAAAATGCGACGATTTGACCCAAAATTATAGTTTAAAAAGGGTTTTTTGAAAAAAATGGGAGTCGCCACTTGGTAATGAGTTAAGGTGTACCAAGTCACCTAAAAAATGTATCTTTAAAGAAAAATAGGGAAAAGTAGTGAGAAACCCTTTTTAAACGACTCCTAATCTACGTAAACCAATGAAAAAGGTTCGGGAGTCACATTTGACAAAGGGGAAGGCAAGGATAAAATCCAAGGCACCCCTTTGACCTAGCCAAGGCTAGTTGCGTGATTTAATCGAAGATTTTCTTGTTTTAACCAAAGAATTTATTACATTTGGATGTGCTACATGAATGCAAAACCCTAGGCCTAGGGGTATTGGGGGAAATTTCTCTCCACAGGTTGAGTGGTGCCAATCACATTAATTGTGAAGCCCAATAACGATCCTTTGAAGAAGTCACGAATAATGTGAGTGGGATGTAAATGAATGGAATGCATGTATGCAATGTGAAGGCATGAGTTTGAAAAAGTAATAATAAAAAACAAAGATGCATAAGTGAAAAATGTGCACGTGAGTGGGCAAGGTATGGTATGCGCAATGGTAATATGAAGTGCATGTGTGTAAGTGATGATAAAAAGTGTTAGTGTGCAAGTGAAGGGATAAAAAGGTGTACGTGTGCAAATGAGACAAAAGTGAAAGTGTGCAAGTGAATGGATAAAAGGTGTACGTGTGCAAATGAGAGGAAAAGTGAAGGTGTAATGATAGAGTGGATGCATGAACCTAGGGAATTCATGCATAATGGGTACGGGGAGACCTAAATCGTGACTCAATTTGCCCTTTGATAGAGAGGATACAAGCGTGCTAAGGCTTAGAAAAAGCCACACTCGTCTATATCCCATATTTAAGGGGACTCTCAAGCAAATGAACCCTATAACTAGCATGAAATGCAAAAATCCTAAAATGGAGGGAAAGGGGGTTCGAGGTGCATGCCAAATGATAAAACTAAGAAAAAATGCATGAAATGAAGTGAAACATGCAAACATGTACTAATGAAAAGGAAATGGACCTATTGGGTCTAGCGTTGGACTAGCCCTCTATGAGTTCCTACTAGCGTTGGACTAGTGGAACGGAACAATGAACCACAGCTAGCGTTGGACTAGTGTGGTGGCGTACAAGGGCCACAACTAGCGTTGGACTAGCGTGGTGACGTGCATTCATCCATCACATTCATTCAAGGCTATGGAAAGCGAGTAGGCATATCAAAATTCATAAACACGTAGCATGTAACACTTAGCATGCTCGACTAGATGCAAGGCCCTAATAAAGCAAGTAACATGTAGCACATGGGCATGCAACCAAGCTAATGAACCTATTACATTCACTAACTAAAACAAAAGGGGGAAGAGGGAGAATGGACCAAATTGCTCGCCAAAACCCTATCTATTACAAGCCAAGAGGTGTACACATACCCCATAAAGCTTAAATAAAAGTAAAAGCAACTAAATGCACGCAAGGAGGTAAGGAAAGCGGAGTAGGCATGCATATTCACATAACACGTAGGAGCACGTAAGGTCAAATGTAGTGCAAATGAAGGATAGAGTGTACCTCCCTTGAAGCGACGCCCTAACGTAGTGAAATTACTAACTTACCCTCCAAAATAATAAAAAGGTCAAGGTACCACTTAAATTATCAAATAATCACATGAAACAAAAATTAAATATGAAAAATGAAAGTTAAACACTAAATTGAGTCAATTAAAGTATTTACATAGACAAACCAACTATGTACAAAGCAATTAATGCAAGAGGGACTTAATTAGAAGGACATGAAAATTTCTAAAAGAGAGTAAAATAAAATACCAAAATTGATGAATTAAGATGAGACCCATAAAAATCAAATGCCAAAAAATGTGTTTAGAACACAAATCCAAGCTAAAAATTCTATTAGAACTTATTGAACCTCAAAATGCATCCTAAAACTCACTAAACG